CAAATAAACAAATTCATAAAAAACTAAAAACAAAAATGATGTCATTGCAACGTTGCAGATTTAGACTTAAGTTTAACAAAAAGTGGTCTCCAGTGGCGTGTCATCACTAAGTTACCATATGTCACGATTTAAGATGTACTCCTGTGATTAAGAGCACTGTAAGCGCTGTATTTCAATTGCTTCTCGAATTTTACGCGTATAGTTATTAGGAGTAATAGAAATAATTTTTGGTTTACTAAAGTTAATTGAACCACGACAATGTTGGGCGTGTTTAACTATTCCTGATGCGTCCCAGTTACTCTTAGCTATGTTTCTTTCGTGTTCATTAATACGTGTAGAAACTTTTTTTCTAGTTTCGCTGATATAACTTGCACCACATGAACAATCTAACTGATAAACACCAGGATATGCACATACAACATAGTATATATATATACATATGCATATATACATATAGCATAGCATATTTCTGTTTATCTCTCAGCAATTTTTTATGCAGTTTGTAGAACGGAAAGTATTTTTTGTAATTTATCTTAATTGTCACTATATATAAAATGTAATATCCAAAACAGCCTAAATTATTGGGCTGACCACATTTTCCAGTTAAAGTTAAACAACACCAAAAAAAACAGGAAAATATAAACTTTTTTTGGTTTTTCAATTTTTTCTAAAATATGTGTCAAATTAATCAAAGAACGTTTAGCCAAAGTTTCAGAGCTACATAATTTATCTTTCTTAAGATATGAACCGGTGGGAAATCGGCTAGCGAATAGCTAGCTATAATCGTAACAATAAAGACAGCGATTTGGCGACGAGGATCGCTAGCATTTTCAAGTTAGCGAAAAGCTATAGATATTTGTAAAGACAGCAATTTGGCTACGACGACAGCTAGCTTAATAAGCTTAAGACCCACTGGCTAGTGTCATTTTGTAATAAAATTTATTTGGCATTTCTTTTATTTAAATTAAATAAAAGAAATGCCAAATAAAAAAAATAGTACTAGAAAAAAGAGCAGAAAATGGAATGGGTTCAAACCATCTAAATTTCTCAAATCAAAACCTGCTAATCATGAGATTTCTTGTGCTAGCTCAAGAAAGTTAGATGCATCGTTCAGCTCGGATAAATGTAAATCTGACAACTGTTTTATACTTATTAACTTTTTTTGCTAAAGAAATTATTTGCACACACTGTTTGCCCCAATTGCTTTATTAAAAATTTTTTAATCAAAGAAAAAGTTGATTCTCGCATGGGCTTTTGCCATTTACTTGAAATGAAGTGCACAAAGTGTAACTTTTCAAAAAATTTTAGAACTTTACCAAAGTCAAAGAACTCAAAGTCAAAGAATTAAATGCAAATGAGTTTCCTACTGAGACTGTTAAAAAAATAACTTTCATCTCTAGAACCACTATATGATATGAATCAACCTGCGAGCTGTCATCAGGTTGGGAGAAATAGGTGCTGGTCATGAATCGATGAAAACTTTTTCCTTTTGTATGAATATTTATTGTTTGTCGCATAATGGCTTTAATAAGTTAAATAAAACTGCAATATTAGTATACAAAATTGCTGGTGAGGAAAATATGCAGAAAGCTGCTTCTGAAACTATATCAATAAACAATTCGCCTAAAATGAATGAAGTTAGAATTTCTATTAATGGCTCATGGCAAAAGCGAGGTCATAATTTGTTAAATGGTGTTGTAACTGTTGTTTGTAGTGATAAATGTACTGATGCAGAAATATTTACGAAACATTGCAATATATGTAAAATGTGGAGATCTAAAAGAGGCACTTCAGAGTATCAGCGTTGGTTGGTTAATCACCAGTGTGAATCGAATCAAGGGTTCATCAGGTAGAATGGAATCTGTAGGAGCTGTGGCTATGTTTAACAGATCTTTACAAAAAAATAAGTAGATGTATAAAGAATGTATTGGAGATGAGGATAAATTTTCTTTTAATGATGTAATAGTAGCAGATCCGAACAAAGAGTATGGTATTATGTCTGTAAAACTAGAATGTGTTGGACATGTTCAAAAATGGTTAGGAACACGTCTATGAAACCTTGTCAAAGTCCAAAAAGGTACTAAAAAATCAATATCAGGCAGAGGTAAACTCAATGAAAACTGCATCAATTCAATGTAAAACTTCTATGATCTTGCAATCAGATAGGAAACTTGTATTCAATGAAGAAAGCGGCTTATGCCATACTTTACCAATTTTACTGATTCGTACACACGCCACCAATTTTGTCCTCATGGAAAATATAGTTGGTGTAAATACTGGGCTCTAAATCAAAAGAATTACAGGCCTAACGATACGAAAAAGAATTACAGGCTTAACCAACCTCTGTGGATATAAGATTTAATCCTACTAATAATTATAAATTTACAATCAGATGAATTGTCATCAAAATGTTTACATGGAAATACACAATATGCTAACGAGACACTTAATAGACTTATTTGGGCTTGTGTACCAAAAAGAGTTTTTGTTTCAAAATCAACACTGGAAATGGGAACATATTCAGCAATTTTAACATAAAATGATGGTGCAACGAATGTTTTAGTATTTTTAGACATTTTAATTTACATGGTAAGGTATCAAATATATCAGGGTCTTCTAAATATAAAAAAAGAATAGTCAAATGAGGTGTAAGTCATCAGAAAAGGGAAAAATATAAGAAAGTCTCTGCCATGAAAAAAGGTCACTTAGATGAGGAGGAAGCAAAAGAATGTAATGACAGTTATGTTTCAGGAGGATTTTAAATTAATATCGTAAATAATATATAAAGAATTTTTCAAAGCTGTTTATCTCATTTTTTTGTTTTTGCTTAAACTTCAAAACTTAGTTTCTTGAGTTAGCAATAATCATTTGATCTGAAATTTACTTGTACTTGCAGTACTTGCTCGAAATACCTATAAAATTCATTTAGCAGATAGATTTTTCTTATAAGTAATTTTTTTTTTAGAATCAGATCTCTCTAAAGCGTCAAAAAAATAAATAAAATATGAGGAAAATCTAAATAACTCATCATTTAGTTTGTTATTTAAAAAATCTATCTATTAAATGGAACAAAATAGTGTTTAGAGTAAGTGAACAAAATTTTAGATCATATAATGATTGCTAGCCTTAGATATTTTGTTTTGAAATTTAGTCCAAAAACCTATTTTTTGATGCCATTATGGTCCTAATGCTATTTATTTTAAAATTTTTTTCTTCTTTTTTTAATTTAAATCCTTTAAGTAAACTAAATTTAAAAGCATTTTTATTTTGGAGGTTTATTTTATTATTATTTATTTATTTGGTGTTGTACCACCAGACTATATTCTTGGGCCGACCACATTTTTCATTTAATTAGCGCAACGACATTAGATTTGCAATTATATCAACTACATTTTAAATTGTCGGAGTTGCATAGGATTTACAGTCGGGCTAACCTCATCTTCCGTTAGTAAGCGCAACTGAAAGAAAAGCCGAAAATAAATAATATTGTATTTATAAATCTATTATAGAGACAATGTTTGTTTGATTATGGTTTAATATTTTAATATTCACGGAAAATTTTATTTAAAATTTATAAATTTGTACTTGTAACTTTGTTTTTTATATTAGACCGCCGTTTATCCATATACATTGAATCAACGTTAGATTACAAAATCACCTTTTGCAATAATTTTACATACTTTTGACCAAGGACGTATTAATAGATATTTTTACGCCAATTTATATATCTTTTATTTATACGTCCTTGGTCGGATCAATGTAATTGTGCTAGTTATTTTTATTCGTGCTGGCATTAATCTTTTAATGAACCGACGCTTGCGATGGTTTTTTTAACATTGGCTAAATGCACGCGTGTTAGCAGGGTTATATAATAAAAAAAATAAGTAGGTTAAACCTCTTTGGTGGAATTCCCAGATAATACTATTCCAAAAAAATTGGATCTGCGAAAAGTGTAATGTTTACATTTGTAGCACAGAAAACATTGTTTTACTATCAATAACGTTGAAAAGAAGTCAAGGTTATCAGCGCAAGAAGAGTTCCACGTCAGACGGTATAATCAGTTAAAGTTATTAATAAAGCTCGATTTAAAATGTTGGGTTAACTGTGATTGTTGTTAACTAAAACATTTTCTTTAAGTTTCAAAAATTAGGCTCATTACAAATGAGATAAAAGTTAAAACTCGAGAAAGACTTTATTTAAAGAGCGCCTGCTTAAACAAAAACCGTTAGTAGATGTATGTACAATTCGCGCAAAAATATGAATAACATAAAAACATGTTGCGTTGAGTCACCATATTTTTTTGTTTCGTTTTAATTCATTTAATTGTCGGGCTTTATAAACAGCTGAGAAAATGGAGAAAGCGTAGCAATCTCAACAGTATATCACTCTCAACTGGGCAATATTTAAAAATACGTTTTCTAAACAACATTTTAAATCAAATTTAACTAATAACTTAAATTGTGGGTAAACATAAAATTGAAAAATTGAACAACAACAAAAAACAACAACACAGGGCCCACGACACGGGTTTTGAAGTGGAGGGGGAGGGAGGGGGGTAAGCACAATCATCACTTTGTGAAAAGGTCCTCTATATCATAATAAAAAAAAAAAAAAGGTTCTTTAGAAAAAAAGTGGCCACGTGTCCCCCTGGCCCCACCAGTGTCGTCGGCCCTGCAACACCTTTTGCGAATTAGTGATACCGTTTTAGATAAAAATTTTTTAGCGCTGTTAGCTTTAACTATAAGACCTCTAAATATCAGTTATTTATAAAAAAAGCAATGTTTTCTGCATTATTAGTGCATACATAATAATAAAATGCAATGACAGAAACCTGTTTTTAGGCTCTCCTAAGGTGAACAAGAATGAGGGCAGGAAGAAGTTTTTGGATGTTTAAACATAATGATATTGAACAATTTATACATTAAATTATACAACTTAGTATAATACTTAAATTCTTGAAGTTATGAGAACCTTTTTAAGCAGTTAAAAAAAGGTTTGAGTAAATTATGTAAAAACTTTGCCATTTTCCTTAAAAAACTCAAAACTACAGCTCCATAATTTCAAAACTAGTTTTAAATAATATTTGCGTGTCCGTGAATTCACAACGTAATTTCTATTACATGTACAATACCATTACGAGAAAATAAGTCATATGTTATTATTGAATTGTCGTTAACCGTAATCATACCATCATAATACGCTATTCTTAAGTTACTACCATCAACAGCAGTCAACACAGTGTTGTTGCGTAGTGAATGGTAAAAATAAAATCCAGGAACTATATGGCCTAATACAAAGCTAAATTTATCAGAATTGGAACGTTTTGAAATATAATTCGATTTATTAATATTTGAATCAGTTACCACAAAGTAAGTGTAAGGAGAATCTTTTAATTTTGATGAAAACTCATCGTCTTTTAAAACGTCTACAAAAATAGAAAAGAGCTTACGCTCCTCAAGTAAAGATATTGTATCTACAGCCGGAGGTAGTATAAAGGTTTCCACAACATGTATAACTCCATTACGAGCTTCAATATCCATATTTTTAACTAAAGCACCACTCAAGGAAGTAAACTAAAAAAAACAACACTTTATTAATTGCAAATACATCTCAAAAATTAAGTCAATATTGTATATACATACATATATATATATATATATATATATATATATATATATATATATATATATATATATATATATATATGTATATATATATATGTATATATATATATATATGTATATATATATATATATATATATATATATATGTATATATATATGTATGTATATATATATGCATATATATGTATATGTATGTATATATATATATATATATATATATATATATATATATATATATATATATATATATATATATATATATATATATATATATATATATATATATGTATATATATATATATATATATATATATATATATACATACAGCGATCGAAGTTAGGCGGGATGCCATCCCGTCACTTTTTTATAAAGTATAAACTATCCCGAGAAAAGAAAAAAATAATTTACAAAACTATTTGCAGCTATAAAATTTTGAATGCAAATCGTTTTCGGTTAAAGTATACATTATACCTGGTGAAATTTATTAAAATAAATTGATTCTGTTTCATAAAGTGATTTTAATACGTCATTATTTTTCAAACTTGAAAGCAACTGCTTCCCAGGAACCATATGGTATTTAAGCATTTGTCTAAGCAAGCAAGCATTATTCATTTTTATTCTAATAGAATCCGGAATGTTACGTATTGACAAAGGAACTATTAACGTAATATTTTCATTAGAGTTTAAAATATTTTTTGCCAAACCAGTAGCCCACAACATATCCACAAACTGTCCACCTCCCATTTCTCTTGCTTTAGATAGGATATCACTTTTTTCTAAAAATTTTATATTTAATATATTCATTTTAAAATGTAAAAAATTTGCAATATAACTAGTATGTTGAGAATCATGTAACTAACATTTAAAAACAAAACAAAAAATTAAACAAACCATCTGTAAAGAAAAAGGAAGACAATGATATCTCTTCATCATGTAATCTACAACTTAATTCAGGAAACAATCTCTCAAGAGATGGCTGAAGCTCCGAAACTATATTGTGAAGATTTTTTTCATAATTTAAAATAATCTAAAGAAATAAAGGAACATTCAGTTAAACTTTATTGATTTTATTTGTCAAATATTGTTTGCAGTAGGATATAAATATTATTAGAAGTGGGATATACATATTGTTTGCAATTGGATATAAATATTATTAGCAGTGGGATTAGATATCGTTTGCAGTGGGATACAAATATTAAATCATATTAAGTATACACAATTTTTAATATAAAATAAAGTGTTTTTTCTACTGCTCTATCTACCATACACCCTACATGCTTTATCTAGTTCAAAAAACTTACAAAAAAACAAAACTCCATCAATAACGTCACAAAAACTTCATCAATAACGTCATAAAAACATCATCAATAACTACGTCATAAAAAATCTATTTCTATCAATTTTATGTGATCATATTGAGCAAATGATTTCAATATACTTTTTATATCAAATCTCTTTTATCAAATTAGTGTAATCATTTTTTTTTGGAACACCAAAATGTTAATAGATTTAATCTAATAGAGATGAAACCAATTAAGATAAAAAAAATGTTTAACATATTTCACATCAAATTTATAGTCATATAAAACCTGTAACTATTAAAGGGTTCTTCACATATTATGTCAACAACTTTGTGCAATTTTTAACTTCTACTTCCTGCATATCAGGTTATTACATTTTTACTCACCCCTCTTTAGTATATGCCCTTACATTGTAAGGGTGCACAACTTTTTTTTGAGGGGGATTTAGAGGAGGATTGTAGGGCATACAATTCTCTTCTATGTCTATCCCCCTCAAAAAAAAAGTATAAAATAATAGTTACCGAACTATTTATTGATTTTTTTTACTTACTTAATACTTTTTTATTTATTATATTTTAATATATTTATTCGTTACTTATACTGTATTTTATTTATTTATTATATTTATAGCTTTAACAAAGTATGGTGATAACCAAGTCTGGCGGTAAACAAGCATGGCAGTAACACCGCACTTTTGACCATTAACTGGAAACAGTAAAAAGTGGAAACATCTTTTTATAGTTTTTGGTTTAAATAAAATGCTTTTTTTTCCTTAAACATTAGTTCTTCAGAATTTGCTTCCTTCATCTTGTTTTCTGATTTATATAATTTGCAATCTTTTAATTCGTCTCTTAATTTTTACTTAAAAAACTTGTTTTATGTTATTCTTTTTAAGGGTTTTCCTCCATTATCTTGTTTTTTAAACTTTTCTCTTCCACTATTGGAAATGGAAATTACTAGTAATTTTTAACTCTAATAACAGTTGCTTGAAACCTTGTTGAAAGTGTTTAGAAAATATCACAAATTTTAAGAACAAATGCTGATAATTTAAGCAATTCATCACTACTTCAGGTTCTTCATCATTTTTCTGTGGTTACTAAAGTGCTCCAAGAAGTCTTGCAATCTTATCACAAGGCATTGTGTAAGTGCTTTTAACTAAGAAGTTCATGTATCCTCCTAAAAATGAGAAAGTTCATGTATCCTCACAAAAATTTAGCTATAGCAAGCATCATTCGGCAAGCACTTTAACTTCTGCACAACAGCTGATCTAAGCAGGTATCAGGATCCTGTTACTGGTAACATACCATTAGTACAACATGGCTTGCTGTCTTGTGTGACCTTTGTTAAATGCTGGATTTTCTTAAAAAATCTCACAAATTTTTGTTTGTACACTAAGCAACTTCTTCTGCTATCTCCTAATGAAAGCTTTACCAGTTTAATGGTTTTCATACCAGATGGTAGCAATGCTTCTTAAACTCTTAATTAGTGGAACTCAAAACTCAGCAGTTGAATCTTACTTCTTGCAAAACTCATCAGATCTACATGCTCTTTGAAAGAGCATGTAGATCTGATGAGTTAAATTGGGCATTTTTAAACCTCATTGGCTATTATCCTTTGATTAGCAAAAACTCTAATAGTCACATTCTTGACATGGACATATAATATTGATATTATTTCTAATCAAATTGACTAAAAACTCTTAGAGCATCAGCTAATATTATTGTTATTAATGACCTAAATGCTCATCACGTTAATGACTTGACTAAATGCGCATCACATTGAATAATTTGGCCCAATGTTCATCACATCAAATGACTTTTATTATGTCAAAATAGTCTTTTTCACTTCTTAGTACTAAAAACCTAAAGCTAAGTTTATTTTACCAATTTTTTTGTGATGGTCCTCGTGCTGATGTTTTTCATTTCTTGGCTGAAAACAGTACCTTTTACATAATATCTCAGATTCAGACAGGCTTGAAAGTTTTCCTTTCTTGTTAGTTTTAACTCAAACATCACTCTACCCCATGGTTTTCTCCTTCTAGTAAATTCTTAATTGCAATTACTTTTTGCATCTTTTTCACAAGAACAACTCTCTAAAGAACAAATATCTATATATAATTACTAGAAATTGTAAAAAGTAATTGTAAGATTCATTATTCTTACATAAATCATAATTTTTCTAAGAAGATAGGTTCTAGTGACTAATGAAATACCCTTAACAGTGTCAATAAAAATTCCAAGTGTAACATTATATTTCTAATACATGAGTCTGATCTCAGCGAGTCTGTTCTCATCACAATGTGATTCTCACACAGATTAAACAGAATAATTTGTATAAAACACTTTTTCTAATTCATCTCTTAAATCTAATAACCACACTCTTCCTCTAATCCCAGAGAAACAGGTTAACATATTGTTAGACAGCTAAACACATTTCAATTGCTAAAACTATTTTTTTCTCTTCTGCAACTTTTAGTAAAAACGACATTAAAATTAGTTTTTTTTTTCAAACCCGGCACCGGCTAAACACAATTTGCAGGGAATACTAGCCGGGGCTGGATTTTTGTTGTTATTGTTTTTGTTGCTTTTTTTTAAATTTTATCAAGTTAAAATTTTTTGTGAAAGTTTAAGGAAATATAAGAAAAAGTCACAAAAATAATATATACAAATATAATATAATTCATGAATATTTACAATGAAAAATAAGAAATAAGACACTTTATAATAATCTAAGTTTCTTCCTCTAATTCTGATGATTCTGTGTCCCAGACATCATAGTATTTTGAATTAGGTGGTGTTAAGTCTTCAGGGGCATCACATAAATATGTTGAATAAGAAAGAGCCCTTAAATTGTATTTAAAAAAAAGAAGTGTTTCAACATTCTGTGTTGTAAGTCTGATGCGATCTTTTTGTAATAACTTTGAAACATTGAACTCCCTCTCACTTGTTGTTGAGCTTGAGGGTGAACATAAATATACTTTTGCCAAGTTTGCTAGCGTTGGCAACCCGCTTTTCATGAGACTTTAATATAATAAAGGATCTTCTGAAATATCTATTCGCTTTTTCTTATTATTCTTTACATTTGAACAAATTTTTCTTATTATTCTTTTCATTTAAATACTTGAATAGCTCAACTATGTAATTCTAATGATGAAAATTATAATTAAAAAGTTACTTACATTTTAAATGTAAATGCAATTTTATAATATACTTATCTTATGAAATTTATTTTAGGGTATTTTAAACACCCTGATTGTTAGCAATTTTTAAATATTTCTTCAAATTATTAACATTGTTTAAAAATTTAAAATAATCAATTTATTACATGATGGCCACTGACTTTTCCAGAATATCCAGGTGGCTGGCTTGTTTGTTCTTTCATCCGGAAAGAACAAAGTATTTCAGATGGATATATGGTGTCTTTAAAAGATAGGAAAAAAAGCAATGATCTTAGAGATAGTATGAGAGTGGTAATTATATTCATAGTATCAGAGAAAATGATAATGATGCCAATGATTAAGATGATGATGATGATCATTGTCATCATCATCATCAGAATCATCATAATCATCATCATCAACTGTATGCTTGATGATGATGATGATGATGATGATGTAGATGATGATGATGATGATGATAATGATGATGACGATGATATATATACCTTTATATAAAATATATCATGAATTTTAAATAAAAATAATATATTTATAAGGAATATCAATATTAATGCAGCCCCGGTTACAAACCTGGCCCCGGCTATGTTTTATCAAACCCGGCCCCGGCCCCGGTCAAATATCAACCCTGGTCGCTTACTAACCCCAATATGATCTAACACAAAGCACTGTTGAAAAGTATTTAACCAGAAAGTTCACACCTTCCTTATCAAATCTGTAGTAAATCTGGTCAAAGCTGGCATTAGATCATCTGGTATTCAACCAGGAGGTTACACTGCATCATGGCTGCAAAACATTCATGATACAGACATGTCATAACAGTTATATCACAGTCTTACAAAAAGGCAAGAACTCTCTTCATTAATATTTAGACAAGTTCAAAAAATATAAATGTAGTTGGATCAGCCAAGCATGAACTTTCATCTCATTACATTCTTTTTGCATCTCTTTTTTTATGTTTCAAAAAAAGTAAATTTCCAAAACTCAATCCTGCTTGTCCTTTAGCTAACTTAGATCTTTTCTAATGTAACTGTTACTTCATGTTTTAAAAGCTTTCATTAATTTTTCTCCTCAAACATCAATGCTTTGCAATTCTTTTCCATCTTTATGCTTTCCTGATTCATAAATTTTACAGTATTTTTAGCTTCCTATCAACAGTTAATTGCTCTTTAGCTCACTTTATAGCTTTCTTCCAATTTAATTGCTTACTGCCCTATTGGGAGCAAATAAAATCTTTTGTCAAAATACGCACAGTGAAAAGGTATTGTTTTAACAGCCACTTGTCATTGCATATAATTGATAACCAATAAAAAATGTTTACATGGTTTACAATTGGTAACTTACCATAATTTTAGCAAACGTTTTTCTACAGCAATGTTTTGCGAACTCTCACTAAAGGTTTGAATATAAGCAACACAAAATTTATCAATAATGTTATGGTACATTAGTACATATGGTAAGTACATTTATGGTACATTGGTCATTAAAACCTTTTTTTATTGGAACCCATTATTGAAACTTTTTTTATTTGAAACCATTATTGAAACCTTTTTTATTGGAACCCATTATTAAAATCTTTTTTTATTGGAGCCCATTATTGAAATCATTTTTATTGGAACCTGTTATTAAACCTTTTTTATTGGAACCCATTATTGAAATCTTTTTTATTGGAGCCCATTATTGAAATCTTTTTTATTGGAACCCATTATTGAAACCTTTTTTATTGGAACCCATTATTGAAATCCCATTTATTGAAACTACTTAAAAACATTACTTCCTTTTCTATTTACTAAAAGCTACTTTAAAATCATCAGCAAACACTAAAGTAATTAAAAATAACTTCTTCAAAATTTTGTGATTTACACTTATGAATAGATAGAACTAAAGTTTTTTAAAGAGACTTCAAGACTTCTGCAAAAAATAAAAAGATTTTCAACTACATAAATGATTTTCAAGAAAATGCAAAAAAAAAAAAAAAAAAAAAAAAAAAAAAAAAAAAAAATCAATAAAAGCTGTTGCTAGAGCACAAATATTAATTAAAAAAAAATGCAAATATTTACATAAAAAGTTTAGATCAAGCCATCCTTTTTATAAACATAAATTTTTATTTATATGATTTGTAGTTAGTATTATAACTTTTTATAAATTATATACTACATTTATTGATATAAATGTATGTATGCATGTGTGTGTGTATATATAAATTAAATTTAAATTTAAAAAACAGGAAAATAGTTTTGTAAAATAAATCAGGGGTAGTTTATCTTAAATAATAAAAACATAATGAAACAAATTAAACTATAACTTATAAGTTGATGAATTAATTCCTAATTTTATATTAATGGAGAAAAAAAACACATGATTTTTTATTCTCTCTGCTTTACATTTAACTTGTTAACTACTGTAACTGAAAAAAACACATGATTTTTTATTCTCTCCGCTTTACATTTAACTTGTTAACTACTACTGAAAGATTTTATCATGCATTAGATGGAGGCGGAAAGGCTGGGCTATTGCTTTTGACAAATCTAAAGCTTTATTCATCTAGTTTTTCTCCCCACACTTTAACTTTTTGGAACTCTCTCCCATCTTCATATTTTCCTGACTCATAAAACCTCAACTTTTCAAGTCTTCTAACCAACTTCTAAGATGATACGAGATTTAGTGAACTGAGAATAATGGAGCTTAGCATGAGATTTACGTCGATTAAATAGAGCAGCTGCACAAGAATGTGAAAACAATGGAATGAGCCTGGATTTAAAACCTATGAGAAGGAATCAAAACTTTCATATCTGCCTGGATCCACGAGGTTCTGTAGGAGACATCAGACATCAGTCAAAGAGTTGTTGCAAAGAAAATCACAGTAAGACATTCAGACAACTTTAGAGTAGTAGTAAATAGTGCAAGAGGAAGTCCAAAGAAAAAGTAAAAGATAAAAGGTTTATAGAGATCATTGTATAGTTGGAACCACCAAAAGGTGGTAAACTGAAAAAGTAATATTTTTAACTTGCTCACACTTTATTATGCTAGACACATTAGCAAGGATTTTTTTAAGGTATTTCACAGCAAGCTATGTCTGTAGACTATATTGTTTAAGCTATTTTTAAAAATAAAACCAGATCTCACTACAAAAAAGCAAAAGATTCTATTTTCTATTATTTTAATTCATATTTTGTCTTCTATCATACATGGAATGCATAATTAAGAGAGAAGACTGTTTTTACACTGTTTAAAGATCAGTGACATTGTTATAATGTTTCAATGTTATATAAAGTATCAGTGATGATGTCATACTAAAAATGTGATTATAAAATGACAATTATTCATCAACTTACAAGTTAAAAAAAAATCAAAACAGAAAAAAAAATGTTATATTCTAAATTAATTTCATAAGTTATTGTTAATAATAAAACACAATTGTGATAATTGTATTAATCAAATTTATTGTTGATATAACTAAAAAAAAAAAAGTATAATGATCTTATATATTATAATTTTATTATATCTTATCTAAACATTATTGTATCTTACAAATTAGATTAATAATTATAATTACCTCCAAAGAATTTATATTTGTAAAAAGTTTATTGATTGATTTCTCAACTTTACCATATTGTAATAAGTCAAAAATGCTTTTGTCTAATGGAGACATGTTCTAAATTAAAAAAATAAAATAATATAAAAAAGAAAATTATATAGAGTAAAATTATATAGAGTAAAATTGTATCAAATTGAACACATTTTGAATAAATTAAACGATTATTTATTTTTTAAAATGCAAGCATTTTGCAATAAACAATGTCGAATTTTACAAACCTGCTTTGCTATATTGGACTTTTTAATTAAAAACTTGTATAATTAATATAGACATAAATTAAACAAAGAAGTATGATAAGATATATAATAAAGGTATAATAAAGTAAAATAAGAAATGTTATAATTAAAAAATAAAATATAAAAAATATTTAATTCGTAATTTTGGACAAATTATCAATTTCATTAAAGATTTTGAGTAGAAAAAAACTCATTTTTATCTCTTCCAAATTAATGCTAAAAGAAAAAAGCTTTTAAAAGCTAGTCAAATTACGCGATCTGTACAAAATTGAAAAAAGTATATTCAGAAAAATTTTGGAAATCAAAATTATTATGTAGAACCAATGAAAAATAAATATAAATTATAAACTAAAAAATCCAATTTAAAAATTATAAAACTAAAAAAAAAATTATAAAACTAAAAGTATAATTTAAAATGCAATTTGAAATGATTTTTAAAATGCTGTCCAATTTAAAATGCTGTCCAATTTGAAATGATTTTACTCTATATTGGTGTCTGATTTGAAATGATTATACACAATTTAGTAAATAAATTTAATATAAATATTAGGAACTGAGTTTTTCGAAATATCTAAAAGATTGCTTAACTTTTGCATAATGTTGCATAATAACATAACATTCTTTAACACTTTTTTTTATTTTTATCAATAATCATTAAGACTTTTTTTAAATGTTTACATTTGAAAATAAAATTTAAACTCTCATCATTTGTAAACAGCTAATTTTTTATTATTTTTAAACATGTTAAATTTTGCACCAGCAAAAAAGAATTTGCAAGAAGCAAAGCAGACATTGTTGTTTTAATCTAACAAGAAAAACTAATGAGAGTTTTTGTTTGTTTTAAAAACTTATGGTCAAAATGCACTAATGCAACAGATTTGTTAAGACTGATTTAAGTGATTCAACAGTGATCAGTAAAAAAAAATGTTCTGTTTAACCTAAAATAAGAAAAACCAAAAAAAATAAAGAAGCTCCGAAAAACAAACAAACAAACAAAAAAACAGAAAAAAACTTGCATAACAGTTAAATGTCACTCAAGAAGCCAAAAATTTGAATGACATGAAAATGACTCAAAAAGAAAAATGTATAACACATGAGTTATATCAAAATTGAGAATCATTAACTAATTAACAATTATTTGCTCACAAAAAAATTATACACTGAATAAATTTTAAAAACAATTCTAAAAAAAATAAGTAAATTAAATTGAACTGGTAAACTATATTAAACTGTATATCTTGATATTAAATGAAAATACAAAAAGATAAATTGCTTACAACTTTAAGACAATGACCATCAAGTGAACTTGACATTTCTATGAATGCATAAAATAATGTTTATCAATATATAGTTCATTAAACAATTAAATATTTAAAGGTTATAGAAAAAATCTTAAACTACCTATAACTATAAACAAAATAATGTAATAAAACAAATAAATATGGTAACTTCAGACATTTGAAAACAAAATTTAAAATTATTAGTATTATACAATAATATTACTCATTAACAGAAATAATATTACTCATTAACATTGTCAAACTTTCCTAATTTAAAATTTTTCTAAACAATGATTTTATTTTTAATATTTTGAAACATTTATCAACAAAAAAGCATATTTATAACTTCACTAAAATCTAACCAAAGTAATATTGCCCATATGCCTTCACAACTATTTAAAAACTCCCAAAAAAAGCTGCCATGATTGAAAGCAACAGTAAAAGGAACTCAATAAAACAAATTAAAAAAAAGTTGTAAAAACAACTCATTTTGATTTTAGGTAATTTTTTTATTTTTAATATATTACAGAAACATAAAAAACTGTAAACTATCGGATACGCTTTTAGAGGTAAAGGCTGGGAGGTTATAAATTCTGACTAGGTTAGGTTATAAATTCTGACTAGGTTAGGTTATAAATTCTGACTTAACACACCCTCTTGGTTATCTCTACTCGACTTATGCCTTGTTTCTGATCCTAGTCAGTGGTCAGTTTTTCCTCTTTCATCCTTAGATGCTTTTGATCACAGTTTGATCTCTCTAAAGCTATTATCTCATTCTCCTTCATTATCTGAATCCCCCAGTCTTTAATTAATGAATAGTTTATCTCTCATCTTGAATCTAATAACTTACTTTCTGATTATTAATATGGATTTCAGTCTTCTCGTTCAACTGTTGATCTGTTAATGGTAATAACCTATAGGTTTTATTGTGGATAAGATAGATGTAGAGAAGTTGGGGCTATGGCTCTTGACTCTTCTAAAAATTGTAATACTGACAGAAATTCTGTCAGGTTCACAACTTTTAGAAGAGTTTAAGTGATGTTTTTTAAGTGATGTTTAACATTAGCAATTCGAAGCCAGAATGATTAGCAATGAATAAACCTGTTTTTTGGACAGGAGATTATAGTATAAAATTTGAGAAATTATTTAGAGGAAAAGGTTTTTGGAAATAGTTCTTCCTTATCTATAGGAGAAGTAATAAGATCAGAACCATGTATGGGAGATGGAATGTTAAACTTGCTATTACGTTACTGTTAAAATTTTCAAAACTCTTTTGAACCTAACTACTAAGATGACATTTGTCTATCATTACTATTAGATAAACCTTTTTACACCTATTTCCTACAATATTAAAAAAAATATTTGTTTATAAGATGGTTGATCTGGTGAAGAAGATTAAAGAAATAATTGTGATTAGCAGTTACACAAGAAAAATGGTGTAAATTAAGGCTTGTTTGTTTTACCCCATTTTTCTTCAAACCCACAAGAAGAAATAAAAGCTCAAAAAAAAAAGACATCACCTTGAAGACTATTACAAAGAATATTACAAAAAGAAACCTAGTCAGCTTCACTGCAGCAATAAGAAGTGAGTTGGTAGAGTAAATCTGATGTAGGAGTACAATATGAAAATTTAAAGGAGGCCATGGTAAGAACTACATAATCATAAAATAATCATTGCATTATGCAAGTAAACGCAAATCTAGAAGCAAAGATAAATTATTTTGGTTGTTTGAAATATGAGTCACAAAGTAAATTATGCAAATCATTTTTTAGACAACCATATCTAAGTAACTATAGTAATTATAATAACCATAATAATAAGTAAACTATAGTAGTAGATTGGAAAACTTTCAGTTTTAGTGCCAGCTAGGTTAGTTGAACTAGACACTAAAAAAACACTAAAAAATCAAAAATTTTACTTTTTGATGGAAAAACGATCAAGAATTTTTCAAGTGCAACAAATGAGACAATGGAAAATTTGAATTTCTTTATAAGATAAAATAAGATCCACCTCCATGGTGTGCCATGGAACAGGAAAGGCACTATGTTCAGAAATACAGAAATTGCTGGATTCCTTTTAATTGGTGAGTTGATGGGCTTAACTTTGTCACTACTTTAAACGCCTATTATTTTAAAGGAGCATGAAGACAGTTGACAATGTTTTATGTCTGAAAATTTTTATTTGATGCTGCAGTAATCAACAAAACTGTTGATCCTGAAAACTCATTGTTTAAATCACTTAAGCACTGGCAAGAGATGGATGGCAATCAAATGAAAGAGTTAGTTAAGTTCGAATATCAGCAGTTCAGGGGAACTGAGTGGGGAAACAAGTCTAGTTAGCACTGCAAACCAGAAGCATATCAAGAAACAGTAAGGTAAACTTTAGTTGAACAGTTGGCAAGTTAAACAAACTTAAGTTAAAAGGAGAAAACTTGAAGGTTACACTTTGTTATATCTATACTTTTATTTCTAATAAAATCATTATAAATAATTTTATTTTGAACAACTGAATATTATTAATAACAATTTTATTTGAAATGTGGTGATAACTGTGTAATGACTGAGCTTGTAATTATGTACCTTGAAGATGAAGATTAAGCCACCAAGTACACAATTCAAAAAAATAGAGCCATCTCACATGCAAGATATAAGCCATTTACTTTCTGAGGTTTGAGCTAATACATCAAATGATCAGACAGGTCATTATTTTGAGTGAAGACCAGATGGCTGTACTTGGTAACTATCCTATCAAACTGGAAGACATTACTAGAGTTTGATAGGATGACTAAACTGTTTTACTCTATTTCAGTTTTGCTTAAGTCATGGAAAACCTGATACTTGGATCTCCAGTTGCAATAGTGTTGGCCTATTCTAACAGTGGCTGTTACAGGAACAGAGAAAAAAGGTTTATTCACAGAATTTAATAGAAAGAGAGGAACATAACATTGCTGAGTCAGAGCTGTTCTTCCAACTATTTCCCATTTCTTGCAGTATAATTATCATCCCCTACCTCTAAATTCTTATCTTCCGAAAGACTCATGGCTAATCTTAATAACTCAAGGGTATAGTATAAAAAAATACAGCTGGATAAAAGATCTGTTCCACAGATTTGTTGGAAAGAATTTCCGAGATATTAGAGTTTGAGAACTTTGTCAAATCAGTTGATGTAGACAATAATTCTTCTTAATGAACAGTAAAACTCATTCAAGTAGAACATGTCCAGAATAAAGAAGCTACTCCAACTAAAGAATAGTTGAAAAATGAAAGGAAAGAAGACAAAAAGTTTCTACAAAGAGCCAACTACTGCTCCATTGTTAGTTATTTTGGAGCCAGTTTCTCTTCCACCTGTTTTTTGCACTCAGACTGGTCTTGGTCTTAGTTACACTTCTATGATTGCCAAAATCAAACTTATTTAAAAAAGTAGTACTTTAGAATGTATATTTTATTGAATGACTATTTTATTCAATAATGTGTTGGTTCAAAAAAGACCATGTGATTAAGATTTTTTTTAAAAGGTCTATTTATGCAGGATTTTACTATATATGTTTGATTTAAAAGCCCATAAATATATGTAGTTGTTATAAAATTATAACAACATACAACATAACGACATACGACATGCAGTTTTTTTTTTCTTTCTTTGATTTTTTTTTCATTTTCATGCTTTGTAAACTAGGAAAATTGGAGTTTCAATTAAAAAAACAAAACTTTAATGAAAACAACTTTTTTTGTTTAGGGAACCTTAACTATTTAAATAACAAAACTTATTAAAAATAAATAGGTTTTTTTATAGATTTAATTGTAAAAGTTTTTCAATTTAAATTTTTTAATTAAAAAATAAAAAGTCTTTCATAAACATTATTTTGCAAATACTTTGATCACATAAAAATTGGTGTCAGAATTACCACATAAGATAAGGCATCATTTTAGTTTCATGGTTATGTAGCAATCTGGAGGTCAGATACACAAACAATAATAAATTTTAAAACCAAACAATTTTAGAGGAGGAATGGAGGACCAAGGAGGTTTTAACTGACAAAAAAATTATAGCTCAAAAATAAAATCTCAAAGTTAAAGAACAAACAGTGATAAACTTAATTTGTGGAAACAAATAAAATGATTAAAAATATACTTGTTGATCATTTTAAAATAAAGTCAAACTTTTTAAAAAGACACTTCTAAGATAAACCCATGCATGATTTTCTTTAAATGCATGCATGATTGACTTTATGATTTTATGATTTTATGACTTTATGATTTTATGACTTTATGACTTTATGATTTGACATTTTCTTTAAATGCATGCATGATTGACTTTAAACCCATGCATGATTCTTACATACCCTCTGGGGCCAGCATGCCATTGATTTTATTATAATGATTTCTAAATTTTATATATGATGGTATTAAAACTACCTATAAAAACCCTAAAAATACCTATAATGTGAAATATAATTTTATTATATAGCAACTTCTAAAGTTTTGTAACCATGAAAGAAGTATGCATCACCAGAAAATGATATAGTAAGCATAAATTTAAACTGTACATCACATCAGCAAAAATAGTTGTTCAAAATTGCCAAATCTTTTGACCAAATTTGTAACCAATTAGGTTAGTTGCCAAATTTTAATTTTCAGCACTTATTAATTTAAATGCTTTTATATTAGATATATTAGTCCAAAAAAATTGTTATACATTTTTTGAGAATGTTAGTATTTTTAATCAGTTTTTCTTTATCACACTATAACAATATTTTGACATTGATACCTTGAGTGTAGTCTTTATATGATTTCACAGACATTAGTATGTTAAACAGTCATCATATTTTTTTGATTTACAATACTTACAACATTTGAGGTATAAATCTTAATATTACAATATTGAGAGATACTATAATTGAGCTCTATCATAATTGCGCATATATGCTTTTAGGATTTTGAGTAACTTAGGGCAATCCAAGTCAGGTCAGGTACATAATCATCACTATCACCCTGCTATAGGTAGAGTTTTAGGCCTTGTAGAGTTTGCTTTTTT